ATAATTTACGTAGGTTCGATCGGAATTGGCGCTGTTCTCTACGATTTGGTCCGAGTTTGTCCTGGACGGCAAGCCGCGGGTGCTGCGGGTGTTTCCCAATGGCGAGTCCACCATGTCGAATGCCGGCGGTCTCATGTATGGAGATTACATGGGGTTTACCATCGATGCCAACCGCACCCTGTGTGTGGACGTGGTTTGCTGGCCAGTCCAGGGCGGTACCGCCTCGTGTTATGTCATTCGACTGGTGCTCCGCCGGTCCCTTCCCCATTTCCTGCAAATCAGCGCCACCGTGCAAGTTACCCATAAGGTCACGGACCAAATCACGTGGAACATGACAGCTGCGGAACGTATGGACGTGCTGCGTCGGTACACGCTCGCAACGGTGTTGGTCGTGGAGGTTGGGTATCAACGAGTTGTCGATAGCGAAGAGGGGAATGTATGGTTGTAATTTGCAGAGGGTTGATTCCGCATTGCTTGATATGACTATCAAAAGCTGGCTAACGTTAACGTTAGTTATATTGTACATGACAAAAGGCATGTCGGCTCTGTAGTTTTAGTTGTCCCAAGGATTGTGTTCTAACCTTGGAGCCTTTGTACTGCAGTTGTGCGTATAATACCAATATCGAAATATTGTATATACTGCAAGGTCAATTGGGTCTACATCACTCTTTGAACGTCCTGCAGTGTACCTCGACTTGAGGCTTTTGCGAGGCTATTTGAGAATATACTACGTTCCCAACTACCGGTATGCATGGTTGTTCTGCAAACATTTCCTCGAGTGTATGGGTGCAATAAGTCACGAGCTGGGGCCAACGGGGTTTCGTGTCTGGACAGACATCCAATGCATCGAAGCAACGACTGTACGGACCATCAGTGTCCGCACGTCGGGCAAACAAGTTTTATATAAAAAGTAGTAGTGATTAGTTGGTGTGAAGCCAGTCCATGGTTCTCTCGGAGTTTAAATGCTCCTAGATTTACAGTACATCAAAGTACCAGTAGTTAAACAATAAATCAAAATCCAGGATTGTACATCGCTAGTAATCCCGCCATGGTGGTACTTCAAGTAAAACAATCCCACAGTACTAATAGTGCTTACTGTACTAATTTTAAGTTATTTCTTGTGAAGTACTAGTACTAGTAGTACTTCCCAAGTTCCGCCGAAGTCATTATGGACATCATCGTTCACCTAATCAATGCTAGCGGTAGCAGTACGTGTTCAGATCATGTGTGAATAGCATTAGTTCGAGAGTCTTACTAAGTCAATCATATCCTACCTGTACCCGGTTAATTTTAGGCTTTGTTGCCGAAGTAAGTCAGCCAATCAGCACTCAGTATCGTGCGCCAATCAAGTGCTTCGGAGCGACGGAGTAAAAAACCGCGCATGACCCAACACTCGGAGGATTACTGGACAATCCGATCATGTGATACTGTAGCGTCACTCACGTCAGCTGGGATTCCTTCCAACCATTGTGACAAAACACGCACCAGCCAGCTAATTTGACGAGTTTGAATCTCATGATGTAAACCCAGGGGGTTTCAGTGCCGGGGGTTGTGAGCAACCACGATGGAGGCGGCAACTATACTCCGTCTAACTACTGTATCCTACTACACTACTACTGTAGTTCTGGCCGTCTGGACGCTGTAGATGGAAGTTTGTTGGGCTAAATTGAATCAACAGTACTCTTACGGTACGACCATGCCATATTTTGCACGTCACGTGTCGCTCCGGGGTCATACTACGATTTGGCATTGCAAGTCGAGCGTGACATCGCATATCCACAAATTGACAACCCATCAACCAATTAATAATATGTACTAGGTCAACAGGTCCGAGGGTGAATGGGGCGTATGGGTCTACCCCGATAGGCCGTTGTCAACTCCTCGTCGGCGTCGATAACTGTGTGAATGGCCATATAAAACTACACGGTGTCACAACTAGTACAATACTACCTGTACTACGTGTTAGTATGCCGTTCCTCTGGTATAAGTTTACGCAATGAACGATTTGTACAAACGAACGTGTCCTTATTAGGCCGGACGTACTGTAATATCTTGTCACTGGTTCGATGACGACGGAAGGAAGGACTTGAAACCAACATGATGCGAACGTGACGAAGAGTGGGCACACGATAGAGGATGTCCTCGGTGACTCAGCCAGGCAGAGGCTGTACGTACATGTGTTTGAATACATAAATACCATTTTTTCTTGATGTCATAGCCATTTCGTAGCCATCGAAAGGCGCTTTCGACGACGCAAACGTTTGGCAGAAAAATATCCGGGGGAAGCTAGATGTTACAGAAGAACTCGTGGAAGTCGGCAAGGCCATCGCAAGGAAGAGGAAAAGGGGGGCCCATCTACATAGGAAGTTGGCCATTTACTTGTCGCTGTGGGGGCTATGAACCCCTCGAGAAAAGGAAACTAATGTTCGAGCTTGTCATAGTGGTCCCTGAGCGCACGACAAGCTGGCTGTCACCGTACACAGCGAGATGGAAAAACTCATCACCTGAAGATCGCGAAATAGCCGTCGGATTCGGTGAGGTTGTGGAGCTATCTATGTACTGTGCGTGGTGGTCGGGGCCTCGGTCACTTGTGCTGGTCCATCGTTGCATTTCCGCATTAGGGTATGAGTCACAATGAGAAGGCGGCTGCATCGGTGGGGGGGAGCTATGGATGTATGTGATGGCGGCTACAGTATTCTGTGATCTCATTTTTTATGTCTTTACATGTAAGTAATAAAGTCGCAACAAAAACGATTTCGGATTATTCCACGCCTACCGCTCCCTAGGTAGTTTGGCCAGATTTTGGTGACGAGGTCGTTCTTAGTTAAATCAATAGTTGATTGTTATAATTTTTCGAGTCAGAAGCCACCGCCTTTTAGGCCACGGTTGTATCGTGTTTGTAGCCCGTGGGTTCGTGTACAATTGTGTGAACGAACGCATTTCCCGCGTTGATCGAGGATTCCTCGTTGCTCCAGTCGTTGCTGCAGGTGGTGGTTCTATGACGCGTGACGAAGTGGGCACGACAGAAATACTTTGACCATTCATGCACGGTACTTGGCAGAATTGGTACAACTGACAATGTAACATACTCTGAACTTATGTGGTTTGTGGTCACCAAGTGACATATCACTTGAAGTTCTGCCAGACAGCCACTAGTACTGATGTTTATACAATTATGTATCATGTGTTGCCAAAGTCGGGAAATGCGTAAGGTTAGAACATAATTACACGATTACTACGTATTAACATAGCTCATCAACAGGACAACTTGAAGCTACACAGCTCAATGTGCCTATACATTCAAAACGACTCGATATATATATATATATATATATATAGCCAGCTGCTCAAGATATTCACACTAGCCTTCTTGTGGTAACAAAGCTCGAGTGTACCCAACCTCCACGACCAACACCGTTGCGAGCGTGTACCGACGCAGCACGTCCATACGTTCCGCAGCTGTCATGTTCCACGTGATTTGGTCCGTGACCTTATGGGTAACTTGCACGGTGGCGCTGATTTGCAGGAAATGGGGAAGGGACCGGCGGAGCACCAGTCGAATGACATAACACGAGGCGGTACCGCCCTGGACTGGCCAGCAAACCACGTCCACACACAGGGTGCGGTTGGCATCGATGGTAAACCCCATGTAATCTCCATACATGAGACCGCCGGCATTCGACATGGTGGACTCGCCATTGGGAAACACCCGCAGCACCCGCGGCTTGCCGTCCAGGACAAACTCGGACCAAATCGTAGAGAACAGCGCCAATTCCGATCGAACCTACGTAAATTATAGATATATATATATATATTGACAACATATCTACGTACAAAAAGGGAAGGGGGCGACAGCACCAGGTGAAACCCAAGTCCCATGCTCAGACTTCGCACTACAGTCAGCACACTTGTCATCAAGCCAGAGGAATCGACTTGGAATGCTGGGCTGTGAAAGCGCCACGTGCCGTCCCACGCTAACGACGATGACGACAAATCCATTCGTGGCGGAGTATACTCTAGGGCCTACCATATCAAAGCCAAGAAGACATA